TTGTGTACTTAATCTTCGGGATCTTATAGTCGTGTTTGTATATCTTATGCACGAGTTCTGAGCCAGTGTTAGAACTTAATATGCTTTTCATTTAGTTTACAGTTCACCTCTTAAATTGGAGAAGCAGACTGAATTCCGGTAATCTGTCCATTTAGTGTGTAAAAAAAAAAAAAAGGTGATTTTGCCCTGATTTTTACAAGCTGCATCATTATGTATTTGTTTTACTGTCTGCCCTAAGTTTTTTTTCCTAAATCTGTAGGATTTCATTTTGTGTTTTTCCCCGAGGTCTTCGTTTTGCATCAACTACAGTCGGTCTCAAAACTGAGGCTGAAGTGGACACAAGTGAAAATGAGATTGTTGCCCCAGACTTCACTAACAGGAATCCTCGGAACTTGGAGCAGTTGGCCCTGGCTAGGAAGGAGCGTGGCTGGAAGACAACGTGGCCAAAGCGTGAATTCTGGCATAGGTGAGTCACCAGCAGAAATGAAGACTCCAAAGCTAATGGAAAAAACCCAGACTCACTGAGTGGAATTTCTACAAAACTTTTTGGGTTGTTGAAACGGTTTCTTCCTTAGTTGTTTTTAATTAACAGATATCTTCTGTGGTTAGAGAACAGTAGGCTAGCATTACCTGAAGGTTAGCACGTGCATTGAACATCTGTGTTAAGGTAGCAGTAATAATGCTTAAGCAACTACTGTTTAACTTCGGATTCCCCTCGTCCTGTTCTGACCATGCATTTTTTTGAGGCACCATAATAGTCTCTTGGCTTTTTGTTTTTCTAGAAAATGGTGATTTCTTATTCTGTGAAAAACAGGTTCTGAAGCTGGGTATTGGCAAAACCATTATTTTGTTCTTGAGGGGAGAACTGTGTCCAGTTTGGCCGTGGCCGGAAGTCTGATGTCATCTCAGTGCAGCAGAAAACAGTTGCTCCTCATAGCCTGTGGATATGAGTTACGGCTTATGAAGTACTGCTTGACCACTTGCTGATCCTGACAAGTTGTCACCTGCTGTGTGAGCAGACTGCTTTCAGAGACTGCGTAGCAAGTCTAAGGTTACGTTTCTGCTGGAGCAGTTCCCCGGTCTGGCTTAGAAGCACCCAAACCACACTGTGCAGGCTTACAGTGCTCCGTTTGGAATGAAGCAGCTTGGGGCTGTGCACCTGAGTAACTGGTGAAAAGTTGCTCTTGGAATTTCACTCTGCCAAGCTGGTAATAGGAGTCCTGTTTTATATCCTAATAAGACAAACCCTAGACAATAAAAGCAATATTAGGGTTTCATTATTATATGAATAGTTTTAGCACATTAAGTTTTATGTCATAAAGTGAGTCACTTATGCATTTAAGCATTGGCATGTATTCTCTCTTTACAGCTTGAAAAGACATCATAATCCTGTTATTTCTTGCCTTCACTCAGATTACGGCTTGAGCGAACACAGCATTATGTAGAAGCTTTCGTTGAGCGTTGCAATGGGGATGTTGTGGTATCTGCCTCTACCCGAGAATGGGCCATAAAGAAACACTTGTACAGTCCCAGGGGAGTAACAGCGTGCAGAAACCTCGGCCGCGTCATGGCACAGCGCTGTTTGGAAGCGGGAATCAACTTTGTGAACTTTAAAGCCGTCATCCCGTGGGAATATCGTTGTGACTCGGCAAGTACCCATCTCCTTACGCTTATTTGGCCCCTTTTTTTAAGCATTTCCTTTTTAAGCATTAATTCTACTTTTCACCATTCATTTTCTTACGTGGCTTGACAGTCCCTTCTTGCAGCACTCAAAAAAAAAAAGGGTGATTTTGACAAGCTGCGGTTCCTCTTGTTGTGCTTCATTGAGGCTGTTGACCTCTGCCCCTCCATGTAACATGTCCCTACTGATGTTTCAGTCCTGGTTTTACTCCATATTTATTCATGTCTCTTGTCTTTTAAACAAGATTCAGGAATTCGAAAAAGCTATGGAGGAGGGTGGTGTCGTTCTGCGTGAGCCACGAAGAATCTATGAGTAAAGTGGGGGACTGCTGGGAAAACTTTGCAAGGAACAGTGATCACTTCTTGAGGCGTGTGAATGTCCAGAGCTGGAAAAAGTTGGAACGTGGCATCTTATAATAAATACTTTTTAAACGTACAGAAGCGTGTCGTGTTCTCGATTCTTAAATTATCAACACTTTTAAAGCTAGAATAAATTTATCACAGTTCAGCCTGACAGGTTAACAGAATTTATTTAAGAAATCAATAATTTTAAAGTATATCTTATTTTTGATAATTGATTTTGTGTTTGTTCTGGCGGGTACTCTGGAAATGCTTCCCTGTAACACCGCCAGTATAGAGCACTCATTACGTGAATGGTCAGAGAATAGGGCGAGAAGATTAAACTCGCCTAACTCACCTCTTGCAGCCCTGACCTTCCGGCCGCTTACCCCTGTCAGGCCGAGGAGGGAGGCGGCACGGCCGCCGCCTGCCCACGGTTAAAAGCGCCTTTCCCTCTCCCGTGCCCGTCGGCTGCGTCTTAAGCGCTCCCTCCTGGAATTTCCGGGTCCCG